AGTCTGATTGCATTTCGTAAACGCTTCAGACTTCTACAGTAACGATGATTGCACCAGGGGCATGGAATCAGTCAGCAGTGGTCCTTGATGATCGAAAGCTTGTCATCCTGTTTTTCTTGGGTGGTGGGGAGTCTTGATGTTTCCATTTTTGCCATCGTCTTTTGCTTTACGGTCGTAAATGATAAGCAGTAAACCATAAATCACAGCAAGATTATCATTTAAGTTGTTAATCTTCACGCGCCCGTTTTTATGGATATCTGGTCAACTCGTTGAATCAGCTCATCTGTGATGACGACGTGCGCTTGTTCAGGTCGCTCTTCATCCTATAGTGATTCCCATTCTTCACGAAAACGTTTGTGCCACTCCTGCACACGGGTCAGTGACACAGCATGCTGTCCATACACTTAGTCATTCATCGATGTACTTCATAAGTACCAACGTTCTCGGACACTTTATGTTTCCAAAGGGTTTCTAGTGTCCGAGAATCACTGATGAGCATGATATTTCATGAAGGATATCGAAACAAGACATTATCAGCCCTACTTCATAACCACACTGAACTTTATACAAGATATATTTCGATGTCTACAACTCCGGCTGTTCTGTTTTCATTTGATTCACCTTATACACGTAAATATCGCAGATACGACCTATCAAAGATATGACTTTTTCACATTTGAAAGACAGTGAATTTTTTTATACTGCATGATTATTTAATCGAGAAAAAAATTATTGCATTAATTTGCGTTTCGAGAGCATTTGGGCTAAAACTATTTAAAAACAGCACATCTTAAGAATTCCGATAGACAGTCTCGCGCGCTGGAGATAAAAATATTTTTTTATTTCGTGCAGTATGTTGCCATTGCTTAGTTTGAATTCGTTGAGTTTCTTAATAAAAATTCATTAAAGTTTTACAAAATATGAAATAAATGATAAAACAAATTTTGAAATCTAAAATCTGGTTTGCAGATACCCATATTCAGGTGGAGGGCTACGTTAATTAAAATTTGTTGGCCTAGGTATCTGTTTTTTCACAGTGCGAGAAACATGCAGATTCTTCATTATTTAATATCTTTAAATGTAATATAAGCCGATAATATTTGGTGGCAACAATTTAAAAAGTAATACAGCTGTTTATAGTGAATCAACGCAAAATGCCGTTTCGACAATAATAGCCCTTCTGCGCTAACGCCCTTTTCGGCCATAATAATAATAATAATAATATATAATAATAATAATAAATAAAATTAAAAAAAAATCTGGAAGGTTTCAGGTTTTAAATTACGTCCAAAGGGCGTTTTTTTTAACTTTTGTTGTTTACTTCTTTATTAAATATCACTTCTTCGCACTTAAACAAAATTCAGTTCAACCAATATCGCAAAACAGGTTTAAAATGAACATATCCGTTAGAATTTCCGATACAGACTTCGCCGCGAGATAAAAATTTTTCTCTGTACAGCGTTGCATGCTCGCTTTGAAATCCTTGAGTTTGTTATCAAAAATTCGTAAAGTTTTTCAAATATAATCGATAAAACAAATTTCCAAATTTGGTTTCCCAATCGTAGGAGGATAAAGTCATTCAAATTCGAGCTCTGTACCGTTTTTTCACAAGCTACATAATTTTATGCAGACTTTTCAAATTTTCTCAAATATAATGCAGACTCTAACAGTGAAAAGTGAACCACGCAAAACGAAAAATAGTCTTACAGACACAAAGCCTTTAACTTGGAAAAAAAAAAAAAAAAAAAAAAAAATCTGAAATATTTCAGATTTTAAATTACGTCCAAAGGGGCGTTTTTTTAACATTTTTGTGTGTTACCTTCTTTATTAAATATCATGTCCCTCGCACTTAAACCATAAGATCCGTGCAACAAGCATATCGCAAAATATTTTAAAACGAGCATATCTTTAGAATTTCCGATACAGAGACTCACGCGCTGGAGATAAAAATGTTTTTTCTGCACAACGTTGCCATTGCTCGCTTTGAAATCCTTGAGTTTGTTAATCAAAATTCGCAAAGTTTTAAAAAATAGGAATCGATCATAAAACAATTTCAAATTTGGTCTTCCACATGCTCATATTCGTTGGAGGATTACGTTATTCAAAATTCGATGACTCTATGTACCGTTATTTTATGACAATGTGAGAAATATACATACATTTTACGCAGATTTCATTATTTAATTTCTTCAAATATAATGCGGACTCTAACATTTTATGGCAACATTTGAAAAGTGAACCGACATTTATCCGTCCGACGCAAAATGCCAAAACGAAACTAATAGTCCTTCGGTATTCAAATCTCTTTGGACTAAAAAAGATTTGAAAAGTGTTACAAAGTCATTCGACGCAAAATGCCATTAGACATTATAACGTCTTTGCGTTGCTACGCTACCAACACAATATCAGTGAGAAATGTAAAGAAAGCTCGCGCATAAGATATCCGTGCGCGAAGATGCACGCGATGTTAATGTTAAATGGAATGCTTTGAAATCATTGCGTTTGTTAATCAAAAATTCGTTAAAAATTTACGAAATATAAAATAGATAATAAAATTAACTCCAGATTCCAAATTTGGGCTTTCAGATGCCCATATTCGAATGGAGGACCACGCTATTCAAAATTTGGTGTCTCTAGGTACCGTTGTTTTTTCACAGTGCGAGAAACATACACACATTGCTGCAGATTCTTCATTATTTAATTTCTTTAAATACGATGCAGGGCTCTAATATTTGGTGGCAACAATTTGAAAAGGGAAGCGCCGCTTTATAGTGAAACAACGGAAAATGCCAAAACAAAATTAATAGCCCTTCTAGGCTAACACCCTATGGGCTAAAAAAAATATATTAACTACTTTTGGGTGTAATTTTATGCTTTAAACTTTTAATATCAGCCCAGTGAACTTTCTTACGGCAACCAGTACTAAAAAGTTCCTAGTATTTTGGAGAAAATTAATTCACATTAAACATTATCCTTCTAAGACAACTTCCGCAGAATTTCCATCGGAAACAGTGGGAAAATCTATTGGAAACAATGGCTGGTTGTCTTAGAATGGGGTTCATTGTATATTATTTCAAATTCCTCAACAGGAGAAATTATTTTTCTAAAGCATCATGCGTTGTCTCTTCAAATCGCACTTTTAAAGATACGTCTAGGAAATGAACGTCTACAAATAATTAATTCTATTGCGATAAATTTCGATATTTGTTTTTTTGTATAATATTTTAGATTTCAAATTTAAAAATGAAACTTTTACTCAATTTATACAGCCTGCAGGTAAAGGCTATCTGATATCACAATATTCCATTTTATTGGCAGAGAAGTTAACTTGTTTGTCAATAGATGGCATTGCTCGTCTTTTTCAAGAACCCGCCGAATAGCTGTCATGGACGTAAGATGGCGCTGTAGTTACCTCTTCGATCGTTTGTTGATAAACGTTCTATGAAAATGTGGCTCGGGCAATTTTTTGGAGCGCGAAATTTTAATCTTAGTATCAAATTATTCATATTCATACTATTTTCGCTAATATAATAAATTGAAAAAATGGAATATTTTTTATTATCATATTTATCGGAGCCTGTTTATTTTAAACCTTATACTTAACGATCACATGCTTTTGATTTGTTCTTAAAATAGTTTTCTAATTATGTGGTGTATATCACTTATCTATTGCTTTTATTTGGAGGCAGCGGATGTTATAATTTGAATGTAGTAAAAAAAAATGCTGCACTTAAACAGCATATTTAGGCCTATTAAAAAACAAAACTAAAGAATTAGATATATATACATATAAATGTATGTATGGCAAAAACTGGCATCATTCTATATAAAATCAATACTTATAATATGGCAGAATCTACAAGTTGTTAAGAAACTATACATACATAATTCAGAAAACTAGAAAAATAAATTTAAATCCATGTTTAATAAAGTTAGCACAAACTGCTGCTAAAAAGGATGTACATAAGGAAACAATTATACAAATAAAAAAATTACAAATATAAATGGGAGATGTAAAAAAAAAGAATGATTACATAATTGGGAGTTTTTGTTTTAAATTATTTATTTTCTTCCCTTTCATGATCTACCTATGTTTAATTTTAACAAACTTGATACACTTGCTTTCTTAAATATAAATACTTCTGAAGGCTTCACTTTGCACTTTAAAAAACAGCATTCTTAAATTATTTTGGGTGTTATGATGGCAATCTTAAAACATTTTAGTACAGAAAGATTTCCCAAATGAATTTCATAAAACTTTAGTTTTCATTCAAAGGATAAAATATCTGAGATATCCAAGTTACAATTTCAAAATTTGTGACTTAAGTTTAATATCAGCCATCTGGTATTCCTGTTCTGCTCTTTTGAAAATTTTGATTTTAATCCCTTCTAGTACTTATCTTTACACAAACAATGGCATTTATAGTACCAAAAGAAAAACAAATACACACATACTGTCTTATGTTTATTTTTTTAGTTCAGTTAGAGAGAATTGCTGCGTTTTATACTTAATCTTAAATTAATACCTTATAAAGCTAGAACTTTTAGGAGGGAAAAAAATTTGGAATACTGACACTTATAATTCATATAATTACAACCATTTACGAAGTTATCTATGATTCAAATTCAAAAAACATTATTTCTAGAAAGTCAAACTTTTAATTGAAAAATTTTCACGTCATCTGGAGCAAAGTTTTTTCTTCATAAATGTTTTAAAAATCAGTTCTGGAAATAATCAAGAGATATAATAAATTCATATTATATAAACTGCATACTTTATATTGCTTCCAAAAGGGAGAATTAAGCAAATTAATTAATAAACAAATTGTTAATTAAATATCTTCACATATACTTATTAATATTAACAAAATAATAGCACTGTTTAAATGTGTTTAATTTACTTGTGCAATTTAAGTCCTACCAAATATACTACCTGATGTGAGTAGAATATTGACATATGTTGCTGGCAATGTTTCATGTGAAGCAAAAGAAAACAACAATTATAACAAAAACACAGTTTTATTTTCATATAAAACAATTTTTACTCTTCATCATATCTACATTGGCAAACTGATGTGTAATGCAATAACAGCACACATAGAATGCAATTATTAACCTTAGAACAGAGTACAAAATTACTATTGCATTTTCACACATGTACAGAAACACCCTGCCTTTAGGTACAAAATGCTTATCTGGCTTGTTTTAAAAAATCACATATCCTCTCATTCATAAGGTTTGACTTTAGATGGAATAAATACTGGAAAGAAAAATTATCACATACCAATTCCAGCTAAAAATTAACCTATGCTCAGATTAATTAAAAAACTGATCCAGAATTGTTTTTAATGTACATTTTAAATAGTTAACCCTTTTTATTAAGTATTTTAGAACTAGTTTTAGTCAATGTTTTTATTCAATACCCAGCAACTATAACCAGAAAGAAATAAGATGCAAACACAGATGTATAAAAAATTGCTAAGGTCGAGTATTTAGGACTTTTATCAATATTAACAAATTTTGCTGCATGAAAATATTAAGCTACTACAAATACCTACCTTTAGAGTATAAATCAAAATTATTATGGAAAATGATTAATATGAATTATATTTACATAAAGAACATTTTAAAGGCAATTCTCTTGGTTAAATAATTATCTGAGCATTATCATGCAAGCTTCACACACAAGTATTGAGGTAAAATCGACTATGTGTGCTGCAGTGCAGCACATGGTTCAAAATTAATATATAAAAACTTTCACATGGCCCCTAGTGTTATGTGCAGCACCTTGTGGTGCAATATGGAGTGAAAAAATATACAGTCTAGGTTTCTTTTTGGCTTCGGTGTTTTCTTCATATGCCTTGTTGGACAGAAGGCTGAGAGAACTGTACAAATGAGGTATAAACTATACATATTCCTAACTAATTATATTATTCATGTACATCCACACACTGGAGCAGGATACAGTATGCGCAATAAGTAATATTATTCATACAGTACAGCAGGATATAATATAGACATGCGGAGGACTATACACAAGTAGCAACTTCAGAAAGAAATTAATACACAAATTCAACATATATTTTTGTGCTTACTTTGTACTATGGTAATAACAGCTTACAAATCATTACTTGTACATGCTAACCTGCAGATAATCCTCTTAAGAATCAAATGCAACACTTTATGCAATCAGTGAAGCAATTGGACACATTTTGTCTCACCATTCCTTGGTTCTGTTTTCAGCCTACATTAAAACAACTATTAGTAGTTATTGTAAAGTTGCTTTGTAAACTCTCAAAATGTAGTAATTTCTGAGGCAGTTACACCTTAAAATTCAATTACTATTTTTGGTAACAGCAATACTTTTTAAATAAAATATTCTTTAAAACTTATGGCAAACTTCATAGTAACGCAGCTCAGTTTTACAGCAGGAAGTAATTTAAATAGTACAAAATTTATTAAACAGTTTACAGGTTAAAAACTAGAAAAAATTTAAACTGATAAACAGAACCTGTGCCACACTTCGTATATACACAGTAGCATTATATAAGTAATAATTCTGTAATGATATCTTACATTATGTTATTTCACAACTAGAAGCAAAATATTGATCCATACCACTTTCCTGTGTTTAAAAAAAAGGGGGGGTGAAAAGCTTTTATTCATTAAAAACAACTATTAAGAACTTAAAAAAAAAAAAGAAATTTTCCCTATTTTTGCTAAAATTCCTGTAAATTACAGAATTTACAAAGAAGTAGTTTAGGTTAAACCTTAATCAACAAAAACAGCTGATGGTCTCTTCACAAATTTATAAAATTTCAGCATTAATTAACAACAGAATACGAAGATTTTACTAATTATGGAAAATATAATTATGGAAAATAATATCCATTTCAAATGAAAAATGTAAACAAAATGCCTCATAAAATCAAGGTTTTAAATCTCTAAATCTGATTTTGATACCACTGTACTAGTATAATTTTAAACACTGATTTTTAAACATTATAAAAATTTTCATGGTTAATAAATTTGTTAAATATTTTTATAAAATTAAATAAATATTTTCTTTCCTGCATATAATTCTTTAAGTGTTTACATATATACAATCAGGAAAAGCACAGCAAGACTTCTGGAAATTTACAAAAATACATATTTAGCCAACTTCTTTGCAGCATTAAGAAATTTACAATTTAAGAAGTGGATTTTAATAAACTTGCTCAATAAAAGAAACTAAAAAATAACAATTTTTAATACTACTGACACATACCACTATGACAATCATAAAAACATCACTAAACACTACTTTAAAACTACTAAAAAAAGCTCAAATCTGCAACAAACAACAAAATTACAATGAAAAGTGTTGCAGGCCACAAAAATTAACAACACAGTGAGAAAACTCAAAAGAGACTCACAACTGCACATAGGAACTGAAGAAATATGACTAAATTTTGAGTTCAGTGGTACACAACAATATCTGCAGCAATCACATGCACATACATAATTTAATGTGTTACTATTGTTGAGCTAAAAAATTAAAATTTTAATGAATGAGCAGTTAGTCAATAAGTTTACCACAGCAGAAAACAAAATGCTTCTAACATCACAGAGTGTGCATGTACTTAAGATTTACACTTCACACAATACAAAATTATAGGTAACATATTTTAAGAATATTGACTTCAATAATTAGAAAATACTGGAGATGAGGCAACAATGCCAACAACTAATTAAATATAAGCAGAAGAATTTCAACAATTTTACAGAGTACAGAAAATGCTGATGAAACTACCCACTGTGATTCCATACATCAATGCAAAAACAAATATATTTACAACATTAAAAAAAAAAAATCTTTACTTACTGATTAGATATTTTTTCCGAATAGCTACAGAAATGAAAAACGTATTAACCTTTTCCCACTTGTTAATGATTACGCTGGATTAGCGTTACACATTTACAGCATAAATGAGTACCATAAGTCACAATCACAAAAATTTATACAGATCCGCATTTTACCAGCTGTTTTCAGAAAAGTTTTTCTTAGATATATCCAAGGTAGTTTTATTAAAAGTGCATAAAGTGCGCGCGTAATAACCATGTAATTGTTGGCGGGCTCGGCTGCACTTTAACCACATAAAGCACTTTCAAAAACTCTTCAAACCTTAGTTGGCTTTATATGGCACTTGTAAGCATATTTTTCTATCCCTTTAGGTATTAAAAGTTAAATGTCATTTTTTACTTCTAAGAAACGCAAGCGTAAAAGTTTTTATCCTAAAAACTTACATTTGTTCTTAACTGTCCTACACTAGAACATTAATTTTTTTCTCATTTTGAAAAAGTCCAGTGTTCTTTTAAATGCCCTGAGAATTTTTATATTGTGCAATGAATTTAAAGCTTAAAAACAGAACAAAAGCGAAGTACTTTGAAAAGTGAAATCTTCAATGAAAATAAAACAGCACTTTTACCTTCAATTTCTTTCCTCTTCTCTTCGGCAATTTATTAAAAGTCACAGAAAACAAGATATTCTACTGCTAGTTCAAAAAAATAATTTTTTTTTAACAGTCCAGAATCGAAGTATCACATCCTAGCAAACCGCTACTCCAAATGTCATCAATTCCACCCAGGTCAGAATATTCTACTGGATTCACATAATCTGGAAAATCGAAAGGTGATGTTGATGATTCAATATCGGTTATAGGCGTAAGATTAAAATTGCCCCAAGTGCTATCCAAAAGGGAAGTCATGTCAGAAAGGTCAGAAATGTCCAAATCAGACAGTTCATTCGTTATTCCAGAACTATTACTCACACTGCTGCTGGCAGAAGACATCGAAGATGATACACACTCATCTGAAGATGGTTCAGTTTTGATGGATATTGGAAAACTGGTTAAAACAGAACTGTTGCTGTTGGTGACAGTGCTTGACGTAATCGTACTGGACGGCTCCTGCTTTATTGTGATCACTGGTTTCTTGCTGTAAAGGCTGTGATGGTCACTATAGTAGTTCGTTACATCCAAATGCGAACCTTCATCAGAAGACGGCGAGCTTGGTGGTGGTGTCAGACGAGCAGTTGGCGTTGGGACGTGTTTGCTGACTCGGTTCTTTAGTTTTTTGACATCCTTCGCTGCCAGCTTAAGTTTCATACGATTCGGGTAAATATTAGAAGCATTTGAATTTGGACCAAGCTGTGCGGACAAGTTGATGCTTGCTCGGGCGTGTTTAGCTCTGGACGAGGACTTGCCAGCGGCAGAGTGCTTATTCTGAAGAACGACGATAGAGTTGGACGCGGTGTTATGGGTTTTCGTCTTATCCACTTTGGGATTTGGCTTGGACTTCTTACGAGGTCGGTATTTGTAATCCGGATATTGCTTGGAGTGCATTTCACGAAGTCGGTCTGCTTCTTCTATATAAAGCTTTTTGTCCTCAGGAGGCAGTTCTTTCCAAGCTTTTCCCAATTTTTTGCTTATTTCAGCATTATGCATATCCGGCTGTTCTTGACAAATCTTTCGCCTTTCCATCTGGCTCCATACCATAAAGGCGTTCATCGGTCGTTTCACATGGTTTGTCTGTTTCTTGCACTGAGTAGCGTCAGTATATGGGGTCCGCGAATTTGCGTTCACTCTAAGAGATCCGAATATTTCAAACTTTTTAGCAAAAGCAGGGCTTCGGCTACTAAACTGTGAAGAAAGAAGGGATGTTCCATCCATGATAGCAGGCGTCATGTTCTAAACGGAGTTACTACCAATCCACGAACCCGTGAAAACACGGGATGTTGACGGTCTCTCACAGCGAGGGTACAGCGCGCTCAAAATTACACGCTCGACGTTTCGCGCCTGGCATCCAAATGCCTGTTAGAAGCAAGTGAGGGCGCTTTCTAGCCGCGAAACAGCCACGACGTCACAGTAGCTGTCGACCAATCCGCGTATCGTTCGCTGTGGTCAAGGTGAACGCCCCCGAAGCGCTTCAAGGCTAAAGCGGACATCGTTCGTACAGCCGGCTGAAAGCAGAAGAGACGTGCGCTCTCTCGACGGTGGATACTTGCAACTATGTGGGGAGGCAATATTTGTTTTTATTCTTAACTGTAGTTTCGTTTTCATTGATACCGTATTTCTCATTGGATATCAAAAAAACGAAAGTTTTTAGAATTAAAGCGAGCAGAGGACTTTTTTAATTTTCATTTTATATTAATTACTTCAGCTGAAGAACAAGAAAATAATATTCTTTAAATTTTTCAAAAGGTTAATTTTTATTTAAAAATAATTTAAAATGTATAATGAATATAAATCTTTTGCCTTTTCCGAACGCTTATGTTAAAGCGAATTTAATTCTAGTTTGAATACTTTTGTATTTTGAAAATTTATTTAACTGATTTTCCTGTTTTCTGGTAATCAGAATTTAAGTAAAAATTTAAAAAGATCTATCATGTGTGTACTGTTAGCGGAGGGAAGGGGGAAGGAAAATGAAAAACTTTTTTAAAAAATATTCTAAGAGTAGTTTGGAACGAATGTACAAGATAGATTTGTCAATTTAACACGTCTGCCAAAACCTGAAAAATGACATTTTTTTTAAAGAATTTAAAAATTCAGTTTCCTAACTTTAAATGAATTATTTTTCAGATTTAGGTATATATTATTATATTTATTTTAATGGTTACGTAAGTAAAAAATATTTCATGTGAAGTAGTTTTTCAAACAGAAATATTATGCAAAATATTTTTCCCTTGTTCAAGATGTATATTTTCCTTGTAACTAGATTAGCATTGATATTGAATATCAATGCAGTAAGAAGACTGCCGTTACAAGATACCAAAATTGTCTGGAGCCAGAGGTTTTAGAAGGAGTTTACTGTACATTTCCCCCTCCCTTAAATCAAATAACCTTTATCAAATTAGCTGGAAGACCGATATTAGACCACTTCAAATGTCAAGCCAACAATGCTGCATAACTCAAAATGTATTTCGGTTTCAAAACTTCAGTATTTCTTCTTGTACTTTTCCTTCTTGAACATGAAATGGATAAATCAAAACATACAGAAATCATTAAAAAATATATTAGTATGAAAGTAAAATTTTAAAAAAAAGTATCAGTTAGTTATAATCTATATTTTTGCTATACAATCCCATTATAAAATAATCTTATGTGCTTATGTAAAATAAAATAATCTTATCTTAATATTAAAATAATCTTAATGCGCAGGTAAGAAAGTTACAGAAAAATTCTATAGTTAGAGAAAAATTAGAAGGACATTAATATACAGCGTTAAAACCCCTTTTTTTTTTTTTTCCATATATACTAATGACATGAGCATTATTGAAAGACACATTTTCTTTTAAAATCATTCATTTTTTTACACTGATAAGCAATGCATTTGAAAATATGGGAGAGATTAATTTAAAATCTTAAATATTAGCAATAGTTTATTTTAACTGATTTAAAATACATTTAGTATTTACAAATTACATCGCTGCCTTATGTGCAAAAAAAAAAAAAATAGAAGAATGCAAAAAAAAATTAAAAAAAAAAAAAAAAAAGCAAAATCTGAAATGTTTCAGATTTTAAATTACGTCCAAAGGGGCGTTTTTTAACATTTTGTGTGTTACCTTTCTTTATTAAATATCATGTTCCTCGCACTTAAACCATAAGATCCAGTGCAACAGCAATATCGCAAAATAGTTTTAAAACGAGCATATCTTTAGAATTTCCGATACAGAGACTCACGCGCTGGAGATAAAAATGTTTTTTTCTGCACAACGTTGCCATTGCTCGCTTTGAAATCCTTGAGTTTGTTAATCAAAAATTCGTCAAAGTTTTAAAAATAGGAAATCGATCATAAAACAAATTTCAAATTTCAAATTTGGTCTTCCACATGCTCATATTCGTTGGAGGATTACGTTATTCAAAATTCGATGACTCTATGTACCGTTGTTTTTATCACAATACGAGAAATATACATACATTTATATGCAGATTTTCATTATTTATTTAATTTCTTCAAATATAATGCAGGACTCTAACATTTTGTGGCAACAGTTTGAAAAGTGAACCGACATTTATGAGTCCGACGCAAAATGCCAAAACGAAACTAATAGTCCTTCGGGATTCAAATCCCTTTGGACTAATAAAATAAAATAAAATAAAAGAATGCGTTTAATTAATCATAAAGTATGATTTTTTAATAATACTTTATGACGGAGAGGCTGAAAAACTTTTTTAACATGTTTAATTCTTCATATCTGTTTTCTAGCATTCATAGATGCAGTTTCATAATGTATTTGCCACTAGCACAATCAACTAATTATTCCAAAACGCTCGCAAACCAGTTTGTTAATGATTTTAAAACAGAAAAAAGCTAAAAGCAAAAATAAAGACAGCTGGCAAACGCCAGATCCGCAATTTTTTAAAATACAAAAAACTATCATATTTTATTATTATTATTATTATCATTTTGTTTAAATTGCTTTCTTTTCTGCTGAGTTCCGTGACTCTTATATCGCACATATGTTGGGGCGTCACAAACGACAGCTGGTTGAACGAACAGCTGCTCGTCCAGAATACATACGGTATTACTGGTTTCATCAAAGTAGGGGAACAGAAGACCAGAGGAGGGGGCAAGCAATAGAAATCGTCTTTTTTATGGCGTTTTGGGCCGTCTGCTCTTTGCATTCACGTGAAACATTTTACATACGCAACGATGTATTAAAAAAAGTTCTAGCCAAGGACATAAGACAGAAAATGAACTATAATTTGGCGCCTTTTTAATGAAAGGAGCTGTAATCACAATAAGTTACATAATATTTTTAATTAAATGTTGCTTAAAAAATTGTTACCAAATTGAGCAAATACAAAACTATTGCAATTATCTCGTTGCAGTTTCTATTTAACTACGTTCTGTTAATTACGATACCGTACGGATTCTTCGAAAATTCAACTTTCAAATTATTTTTCTCTCGTACGAATCAAATTCATTAATCAATGACTCAAGGATTCTATTGTTGATTTTCATTCTTGCAGAACATTATTTGGCTCATGTTAAATTACATTAGCTGACTTAACATGGCAAAGCATTAAAGGTTGTGTATCTCTGGAATATCTCCATGAAGGACTATCTAAAAATAACTGGCATCTACCCACGTTACGTATGAGGAAAACCACTAAAACATTAAACAGGCAGAACCTGAAGCATCCGTAATTGAACACAAAATTAACTACGCGGTCATAACTATTCTGCTTCTGAAAGGGAATCATTATTAGCAACTCGAGAAAGTATTATTGTTTTCAATATGCAACAAAATTCTCGTCCGTTCCAAATAGAAATCAAAGTCTATGATACATAAGACCTTTTATTTATCCTTGTAAATATTTCGCCCAGATGGGAAAGTGGTTTTATACTCTGATTGCCGTATTGTTGAGATCTGGTTCGTATCCCGGAGAAGGCATGGATGTAAAAATTGGCTGTCCCTTCATAGGAAGCAACGATGGCTTACTTCTTAGTTTCTTCCATAATACAGAGTCTGCAGCTTCTGACCTTAGTAGCAGCCAATGCCTATAAACGGCTACAGCCCGCCATTGGGAGAAAAAAAAAAAATTTGATGATATAAGTGTGTTGTTGATGGACGTAAAAAATTTGAATCATTAATATAATTTTTATCAGTAGTTCTTAATTGTATTTTGCAGCAAGTATTATTTTATACCATTACCACAATAAATAAAATATGTTTGTAATAACCCATGATACACAGAGAGAAAAATTTCTAACTTTACTTCTGTTGTACAATATCGACTGAATCCAAAATAAAATGAAATGATTAAGATGCAATTTTGATATAATTTACAAATTACTAATTTTTTGTGTATTTCTTTTTAAATTCTTTAAACGGTGTGTTCTAATAAATTTTGATCACTCTCTGTTTATTACCATTTTCTGTTTAAAAACACAGTTTGGAAGCTGAAGTGACTATTGGAAGTTCGACCATGGTTCGAGATTAGGCATCTTGTTAGAGATGGTTGTTTTTTGCAAACTTTCCCCGTGTGTAATGCTAGTTTGCTTTCCCCTCCCGTTTGACAAATGTTTGTCATGTGCTTTGCTGTATTCAAATAACCTAAATTAATCGAAGTTTTTCAGAATCGAAATTTTATTTCAATTGACAAAGAACAACTGAACGCTTTATTTCAACAAAAATAAAATATTTGCTTATTTTTATTATTATTAATATTTTTTTTACTAGTAAGCTCTCTCTCTCTAGATATTAAAATGTGATCTAGAATTTGGAATTTGCAGTTTAAAAAAAAAGTTAACCGCGCTTAACACACGTCTGGTAAAATAAGCATTTCGAAATATCGAATTAAAGAAATAGATCTAACAAAAGAAAGCAGACCATATTGATGATTTTTGTATTGTTGAATTTTGCTGTTCCTTTAAATATTCTTTTGACGGAAATTATTCTTCCATGAATTCTATTGAAATAAAATAATAATATATAAAGTAAAATTCAGCATTGATTATTTTTGTTATTATAATTATGTTTCATGCAGGCGCTAAGAATTTTATTGTTTTCCTTTTTATTCTTTTATATTTACTTATACATTTATTTTAAGCAGCGCATTTCTGATAAATTGCCGAAAATAATTGTAGGAAAGAAAAAGATGTTACGAAGCAAAAGGTAATCTACGAGACAAACTAAAGCGAAGACTGGATTTTATTAATGACGAGTGGAAAATTTTCATAAATTAATATAATTCAAGTTTCAAATTTTACTTGACGATATTAAGCAAAATCAGGATTTTGCAAAGCTATGGAGGCATTTTTTTTAACTCTTACTGATTTATATTCAATTTTTAGTTTTTATTATTGCTAC